TAAGGAATCAATAAAATATCTTGGTATTTATATCTCAGGATTTTCACCTTCACATGCGACGAAACTCAAACTCAAGGAAAAAGTGACCAATTTTTCATCTGCAATTGCTAGTCAAAAGGGATGGAATGGCCTTATCACTAGGCAAGCAGCTCACTGGATTATCCCAGCACAACTTGACTACGCAATTCAAATAAGTATCCTAAGCGACAACGAAATAACTTATTTGCAATCCAAAATGAACAAGGCAATAAAAAGCAAGTTGGGAGTAGAGCGTACCCTTTCAAACAAAATTCTTTACTCTAAAGCTGGGCTGGATATCATTAACCTTCAGGACAGAAGAAACTTGACAGCTATCAAGCTCCTTATTACCAAGCTATATAGTAACAAAACATTTCCATATATTAAAAGAGAGATAACTTCCATCCAAGCCTCCCATGCCATATGGAGCTGTCCAATTTGCTAACCTTGCCGCTTCAGTGAATCTTGGTTAACTTTATCAGCACAATTAGCAAAGAAATATAAAATCAATGTTTGTCCTTTACCATGTCCCTTCGGCATCAATAATAGTGATCAATCTATCGGGTTAATAACAAAAATGTCTAAATCAGCTGCCCTTGCCTTATCAAAATCTAACATTAAGACACTTCAAGACCTTTTGGTATATAATCATTCCACCAAATTATCATGGGACGAACTTTACACACACAGAGGTTTCATTGCTCGGGGTCCCATTCCCCCATGGTTTAAAAATATTAACAATAACAACTCTCAAACTATTGGAAACACACTGCCTTTAAGTAACAATAAACCATCTTTCTGGGCCTTTCTCACAGACAGCAACAACGTAGAATTCATAAAAGTCCGCAAAAATGCTATTCCATCTGACTCCATCAAAGGCCCTCATTTTGTTGCAACAGAGCAAAAATGCTTAATACCTTGCAGTTGTAACGAACAACCATGTCTGATTACAAAAAACATTAGAGATCTCAAATCAATATGGATGATTAAAAGGCTCGGCTCTCCTTTTTTGCTCAACAATCTTATAGAATTAAAAGAATTCTTTATCCCTATACCTTCAATTGTTCCTCAAATAATAGTTTCACCGCCTATAGAAAATTCAAAAACGCCTATCAATTTGAAAATTTCTCAAGTCAAAAATATACTTTCAATTTATTATTCTGAGTCACCCCATCATTTTGATCTTTCCCCTAATCCATGGGCTCTTTTTTGGCCAATCATAACTCAAACCGTTTTCAATATACCTGCAAACTCAAAAATTTCAATTATCTCAAAGCAACTTCCAAACCGAAAAATTCCTGACTACCCCAACAGGCATATTAAAATTCCATTCAGTAGATTTATCCTAAAAGTAAACCAATTGTGTACTTCTAAAAACATTACCATTATATGGTCCAAAGATGAGGAAAACCTTAGATCAAATGTCAACTCAATTTCTAATACCCCAGGTACCTTACAAACACAAATTCCTCAAACGGCTCCTTCAACCTATAGCCCTTCTCCCTTAATTAATCAAAAAAGTGCAACCAGTGTCACACATTGGATCAAATTTGTTAATCACTACACAAACTTGTTTAACCTCTTGCTGAGTCAAACAATCACTTTCAAACCTCAATCACTGGAAAATTTGGAAACAATCATTAACTCAAACAAAAAAATCAAAAGGTCCGATCAACTCAGATATAGAACACTTGCCGCCTTTAGGACAAAACTTATTGCTGGTCAAATTCCAACAAGGTCCAAATTGTACAAACGATATCCTAATCTTTACGACAATGATCTTTGTCCCCGGTGTGATGCATTTTCTGAAACTCTAAGCCACGTTTTCAATTGTTACCACGCACTTAAATATATTAATAAGAAGAAAACTAAGTTACTTCAACTGATTTCGAGTCAATTGGAGAAAGATCTTCCTTCAGCAAGCCAAAGTATATCTGCCCTTAACCTTTCAAGCGAAACAATTCTCAACCTGGCAATGGGCTTTTACCATACACCACTTAATTCCATAAAAAATAGGTCGGAAATTTCAAACAAAGCATTAAAAATTCTTTACAAAGTCTGGAAACAGAGATCAGAGACAGCCTGTACCTCTCTTTCCTCCGGGGTCAAATGGAAAAAAACCAAAGCCTCAAATAATAACAGTGAATTAAACTCAAATAAAAATGATAACTCAACATTTAGTAAAATTTTAGAATTACTTAAATTAAACAATAACTACACTAACAAATTAATTTTTACACCAGCCATAGTATCATCGTTCTGAATGGGTATTAACCATTCGGCACTAGCTTTATTGACTTCACCTTCTTGGTGCAAGTTGGTAATGTTAGTTTAAGTCGCAATAGGTTATAGTTAATTTGTATTTCACAAAGACTATTAATGTAATGGCAGCAAACATCTGTTTAATAAAGCCCCGCATTTAATGCCCATTTGCGATAAAAAAAAAAAAAAAAAAAAAAAAAACTAGTTAGATAACATTAAGATATTAAACAAAGAAAAGAATTTACATATATAATACAATTAAATACATTAAGATTTGATCAAATTTAATATATTAGTTATTTATAAGCTAAAGTTTTAGATATTAAAATTCTTACAGATTTATAAATCAATATAAATTACAAATATGGTTAAGTTATTATCAATTGATTCAAATATAAACTGATATTACCAAGTTGTTAAACCAAGTTTTTTGATAGAAAACAAATAATAAAGTACAAAAAATTGGCTTTAAAGAAAAAATTGATCTTAAAATCTTTATAAATAAATATTATTTCTGGATTATCTTTAACAGTATCCTAATTATATAACAAAAAACAATCTTTTCTTAATTATTTCAAAGCTATAAAAAATAAAAAAAAAACAAAAGGATAGCCAATACTTTAAAATTATTAAACAAATTGAAAGAATAATCATAAGAAAGAAAAAAATCCAACAGATCAAAATATAAAAAACAAACTTTTAAAAAATATTGTATTTATTTATAAAAAAATCCTTGTAGATTTCTCAATTACTATCAAGTTGATTAACCATATAAGAAAAATATTAATCAAAAAAGACTTCATAGTATCAAAATCTTATTAAGTTTTGAAAAAACTAAAAGCTTTATAAAAAATTTTTAAATACTATAATTTAAAGCTCTTTTTGAATTTTAATATAATTCAAAACAATAATACAAACTTAATTGATACTTCTGAAGAAATCAAAAAAATTATAAATAATTATTTTAAAAAAATCTTTGCAAATAACAATTTTAATCTAATAGATACACAAATAAAATATTATAATAAGAATTTTGTTTTGTAAAATTAACAATATATTAATTAAAACTATATTAGATTTTAGTACTAATTGCTATATTATAGATAAGAGTATAACAAAAATATTATGCTTAAAATTTGATAATACCTTCAATAAAGAAATATATAGTTTCATTAGTAAACTCAATATATTGGGAAAAATTCTTATAATGGAAATTTTAGTTTTGTTTCAAAATCAAAATAGGAGCAAGTAAAAATTAATAATATTTTTGTTATCAATAAACAAATTAAACTTGAATTTATATTGATATTGAATTAAGTATAAATTTTAGAAAAATACAATAAAGTTGGACTTCTTAAATAAAACTTTTAAATTGCTTAATAAAACTAGTTATAAGATTAAATGTAATTAATAATATCTAAAAATATATAATATATATTGTTAGAGGGAAAAACCAATCGATGATAAGCCTTAAGAATTGCGTAATGAAGATCACTCATTATAAAGGTTGTCTAATCGAGTAATTGAACCTTAACCTCACTTGCTCAGCTTGATTGATTATTTCAATTGTTTCTGCATGTTCTGTATAATTGGTTATATTTGTTATTTCTATTATTTATATTATTTCTTTTATTTTGATTATTTTTATTATTTCTATTATTTTGTTATACCATTAGAAAAAGTATATAAGCAATGTAATAATTAAGTAAAGAAGAGGAACAGATGACTATTAGAAAAAGATAATAAAAAGTTGTTTACTGATAAAAATCACTATACTTATCACATTGTTTCCAACCAATTATATCTCCCCAAATCATCAAAACTTGCCAAATCCATGTCTTCTTTCTACCTATCATCCCTTATAAAACCTATAACCCCTGTACAAGAATGTCACAAAGTTAAGGTTTTTGCGACATGTTACTTTAAACCCTGATCCATGACAGATTTGGTGGTAAACTGTGAAATATGACATTTATTTTCCCCTCACGATTTTTGTTACCGAACGAAGTTCTAAAGAAAAAGAGAAGAGAAGTATAAAGAATCAAGAAGAAAGTAAACAAGATGGATGCAGGACAATTAGAACAGCTCCTGACAAACGTTACCCAGTCATTCGAAACTATGACTATCAATATCCTCAATGGAAACTGAGGTAGAATGCTGGAGATCAACCATGTGCCGGTTAAATATTTTGCTGAAAGAGAAAATAAAGACTCTATAGAATGGATGAAGGAATTTGAATGAGTCACAACAGCTAACAACTGGATGAATGGACGAAAACTTCAAATTGCTCCTGGGTATTTAACCAACCTAGCCACTGATTGATATCACGAGAGTAGAGAAAATATCAAACAGTGGCATAACGATAATGATGTGCAGCATAGTTTTTATTACGCGATAATCAGTTTTTTTTTCACACCTGAAAAAAGACATCGTTGATAACAAAAACTATATAAATTAGTCCAACAAGATGATAAGCGAGTAGATACCTATATCACCAAATTTAAATGACTCCTGTCTCAAGTAGACCCGGAAGAAAGAATTTCTGAAGACTATATAGTAAGCATATTTATAAAAGGTCTCAAAAGTAATACTGCTATCTTTGTTACAGTTATCACTTTGATTATACTGATGGAGACTATAATAGCTGCCCGAAGAGATGAAGCAGGAAATTATTATAGACAACAAAAGTACAAGGCAACAGAAAGCTATATAAACCAGATATGAGAAGAAATGAAAGGTTTGACGAAGCAAGTACAAGAAATGTTTTTGAGTTATATCACATTAGCCACCCAAAACATCGCCAGGAGAAATATGCTCCCAGACCCAAGAAACGTACCAAGAATGAGATGATGCTACCACTATGATAGAAAAGGACATTATTTCCAGGAATGCCTTGAAAATGTACCACCAGTACCAGTAGCACCTACGGCCGAAAATTCTATACCAAATGTTCATTATTGCGAATGGCAATTGGAAAAAGAGAATGGTATGGATGTTTATGTTGCAGAAGGCAATATGCCTGCCAAAATAGGAAGACCCAAGTGCAAACCTGAAAGTAGTTTGGGTAAATCGAGTCACGTACCTAAAATCAGAAGAGTTGTTGATCTGGTGAAACTGATAGAAATAAGTATCCAACCTATGGAAAAGGAAATATCAATGAAGAAAATAAAAAGGAAGAAGAAACTATCAGTAATTAATTTACTGGACCCATATGATATACAGACAATATCTTAGCTTTATCTGTCACCGCAACAATAGGACAGATGTTGCAATATCCAAACTAGCGAAGAAATTTATCAAAACTCTTATGACAACCTGTTGCTATATCCAAAACTCTTTATATATGACCTGCCATTACCGGTAAAATCACTACTGTGAAATATTATGTGAAGATTGAGAGAAAGCCAATTATAGCTGTATTGGATTCAGGTGCTGCTATAAGTATTATTATTAAAAAACTTTTAGACCGCCTGAAGATACAAATTGAAGAAAAGTCTACGACTACCATCATTATAACCAATAGAACTAGGAAAAGGACCCTAAGAAAGATTAGAAATACTAACATCACGATTAAGAAGATTATCATTTCGACGACCTTCCAAGTCATCAAATCTAGAAATGAAACCCTTTTGCTGGGAACAGATTGGTTCCAAAGAACAAGTGCAAGGATTCACTTTGACAAACAAAAACTATATCTTAAGTACCAAGGTCGATCTGCAGAAATCTGATTTTTCACAACAATGCAACGCTTTTGCAGACACCAAAAGAAACAGATATAAGTGATGAAGATCCTGATACTTGTGATGAATTCAAGTATGAAAGTAAAGAATTAGAGGAAAAAGTGGGATACTATATGAAGAAATGGTCAGATGAAGAACTGTATAAGAACCTATGGAAAAATATACAGAATTCAGCAATATATATGACGACCCTTGAGGAGATACCTATCCTTGATGAAGACCAGGACAAACATCAAAATGATGAAGAAACCCTGAAACAGAATATTGATATCAGGTTAACTAAAGAAGAGCAAGAAGAAGCCACAACATTCTTTGAGAAAAAAAAAGATCTTTTTGCAAAGAATATCATGGAGTTAATCCAAACCAATGTTACTCACCATGTTATCGACACAGGGGATATGAAACAAATTAAGCAAGCCCCTTATCAAATGGCACCAAACAAACATGACTATATTCAAGAAGAATTAAGAAAAATGAAGGAACAAGGTTTAATTCACAAATCCATTAGTCCTTGATTCTCCCCTATTATTATTATGCCAAAAAAGAATGAAGTGAAACAGCTATATGTTGACTATAAAAAATTGAATGCAGTAACCAAGAAAGATGCGTACCCACTACCATAAATAGACAACCTACTAGAAACATTGGGATGAGCTAGTTAGTTTTCTAATTTGAATCTTGCCAGTGGTTATTGGCAAGTATAGATATACAAAAGTGACTATGAAAAGACCACATTTGTAACAAAATTCACACCTACAAGTTTAAGGTTATGCCATTTGGATTATGTAACACACCAGCCACTTTTCAATAGCTAATGAAAACAGTTTTACATGAGTGTATAGGACGATTTGTTGCTGTGTATCTAAATGACATTATTGTCTATTTATGTACCTACAAAGAACACTTGAAACACTTGATATGAGTTTTTGAAGAATTATGGAAAGCCTCACTAAAGCTAAATTCTAAGAAGTATAGTTTTTTCTTACCGAACGTGGAATTTTTAGGTCACATTGTGAGAAAAAATGGCATTCAACCAAACCTAAGAAACGTAAAAAAAGTAAAGAACTACCTGACCCCCAAAATTTAAGACAGCTAAGAGGATTTATAGGGCTTGCCTCATATTATCAAAGATTTATAAGGAATTTCTCTAGTATTGTGAGACTCCTATACTGACTATTGGAAAAGAATGTATCATACAAGTGGAAAGAAGACCAACAAAATACTTTTGAGATTTTGAAGAGATGTCTGATTTTGGCACTGATCCTTAAATATCCTAACTTCGACCGAATATTCTATGTACATACAGATGTATTGGGAACAGGATTAGGTGCTATATTATCACAAATCAATGACAAAAAAAACAAATATGTAGTCATGTATGCGAGTTGAGGTTTGACAAGACCTAAGTAAAACTATACGGCAACAGAATTAGAATGCTTAGCGGTAATTTGGGAAGTTGAATATTTTTACCATTACCTCAGCATGAAGCTCTTTATAGTGGTTACGGATCACCTTGCCTTAAAGTGGCTGGAAATATCTAAACTAAAGGGACAGAGAGCAAGATGAATTCTATGACTCCAATCTTATAATTATATGATTATACATTGCACAGGAAAGAAATATACCAATGTGAACATATTATCTCGAGCAAGAAAAGGAAATCAAAAGAGTATTGGTAAAAATTTAATTAAGAAAATAGGAATCGTAAAGAAACAAGAAGTGATCTTATCAGGCCCACTGCTTATTAATTGATTCAAAAAAAAAATCAATCAAAATTCGAGAAACAAAATCCAATCCAAGTAATAGTGTCCTGGCATTCGAGAGGAAAAAAAGAAAAAGAAGAAAAAGAAAGAAGGAAAAGTAACCATGAAATTTGACAACTATTGGCAATTGCTTAATTATCTATGAAGACAACAATTACTTGTGAATGCTACACCACAATTAAAATGACGATTACAGATATAAAATACTTTCTTTGTACAGAGAATAGATTATTATACAAAAAGAACAAATACTAACCAGGCTGACTATTATGAGTATTACAATGGCACGAGTTAGAACCAATATTGTATTTAATATACACACATCTGCTAGGAGGACATTTTGGTAAAGATATCATGTTTAATAAGATATGGGACTTATATTATTGGCTGCAACTATACGAAGATATCAGAGCATATATACGAACATGCGATCAGTGTCAACAACGAGAGAAGAATTGAGCAAGACAATCTTTACACCCGATTATACATGTGGTAGAAATTGGTAAATCCTTGACGCAATTGACGCAATTATTTGACGCAATTAATTGAGTCACTATTA